AGACACCACTAGCACCTGGGGAAAGGCTGGGGCTTTCTTTCATTCAAGTCTGGCGCCTACCGCAGCAATTGGAGCTATCTGGCCATAAGCAAGGTTTCTTGTAGCTTCTTCTTCTTCTTCTTTTTTTTTTAAACAAATCCCTCCAGTGTTAGTGATGCTGATAAGAGCAGACACCACTAGCACCTGGGGAAAGGCTGGGGCTTTCTTTCATTCAAGTCTGGCCCCTACCATAGAAATTGGATCCATCTGGCCTGCAAAAGGTATTGCTGTGTTAGCTCCTCAGGAATCCCCTTTCCAAATACTCTTAATTCTACTTTCATCTGGAGCTGCTGTAACTTGGGCTTATCATGCTATATGGGTCCTCGCTCCACTACTCTCCACATGCTCAAAAGCAAAAAATTATGGTGGTGTATCTTTCTATGTTCTGGCGGAGGATTCAGTCTCACTTTAACAACGATTTTCGTTAAAGCGGACATTTTATATTTTTTGAACGAAATTGAAACCCACATATTTGGCCCTGAAAATGTCACCGTTTTAGCTCCTAAGGGTCCCCCTTGGACGTAATTGAACTTTAGTTAAGACCAAATGGACCTTTAGCCTTTTTTTTTTTTTTTTTTTTTTTCTTAAAGAGCGACAGCCTTGATATATTATCATTGAGCTGACCGGCCCCAGCCAAGTCATTAGTAGTTGGTTTTACTCATCAAGTTCCATCATCTGGATTCAAACACAGGTCTGCATTTCAACAGTTCATGGGTGTATCCACTGAGCTAGGCTCTTAGGAGATAAACACTAATATTTTTTTGGCCAAATAAGTAGGTTTCAATCTCGTTAAAAAAATATAAAATGTCTGTTTTGGCAAAATCGCTGTTCTTTGCACATTTGGAGAGTACTGGAGGGAGGGCCCATTAGCTGGCTTCAAACAAAAAAAAAAACTTTATGGCATACTAATCACTATTCTTTTAGCTTCAGTTTTTACTGCAGTTCAAGGAATGTAATATGTAGACGCTCCTTTTATACGTTTCTGATAAGGGCTCCCCGGCGAATAATCCCCCCGAAAAGGAAAAAGAAGCAGCTCCTTTTACCATTTCTGATGGGATATATGGCTCTACATTCTATTTAGCTGCTGCATGATGAGACATTCCTATGACACAAAGGCAATGGGGTTTATCAGGAAGCATGCCAGATGAGAAAAGCATGGGAAATCTGGGCCCTAAAGGGCCTTTGTATTTGACCGGCCGCCGACCAAAAAAGAGAAGGTAGCCCATGTTTGACAATGAATTTTTAGCCATCTTTCCAGAAATCTTTCTTATAAATGCCACAGTCTTAAACATAGTGATTAAAACACTTTCAAAGAACACAAGCACATGAAAACATGAAAAGTAATCCGAGTGCAGTTTCCACGGAGCCGTCAAAGCATGAATGCGAAGCAGCGAGACCTGACACCGCGTTTTGACTTGTCACCAGCCGGCCAGCCATCTTCAGGTGTCAAGGACCTGGCTACAGATAGGACATCCATTAGAGACCACCAGTACTTGGCCCGCCGCAACTTTCGGGTATGGCTGGCAGAGCCAGCCAAGCGAAAGTCGGTCTGGTGTGCAGCACATTTCCAGCATCAGAGAAAAGTGCCCCACTGCTTTCCGCCAAGCCTTTGGAAGAGATTTTTTGAGACTCCATTGTTGGTGGTAAAAGCAAGCATTTTTGTTTCTACTCTGCCTACCTCCGCTTTTACAGCATACATACCATCAACTCCCCGTGCCTCCTTTCCACAAGGGATGGCTGAATCTAGAGGGTAGCTACCTTTTTCATTCATCCAAAACTTGCCTCTAGATTCAGCCATCCCGTGTGAAAAGGAGGCACAGGGATTGGATAAGATCTGAAAAAGACCGTCTTCCCCCGAACACAACGCACCCTCATTTTGGCTGTATCTGGCCGGAAATATAGCTTGTATACATTCATTTTTAGGGTGCGTTATGTTGGGGGAAGACGGTAGTCCCTAGTTTTGGCTACCTTTCCATTCAGCCAAAACTTGCCGCGAGATTCAGCCATCCTGTGTGGAAAGGAGGCACAGGGGTTGGATAGTGTGCTGAAAAAGAGGAGGCCGACTTGTCTGAAGGGGGAACTTTTCTTGATCTGGTAACTGAAACCTTAGGAGGTGCCGAAATCTGCAGTGGCGTTGTAGTCCCTTTTCTCTTGCCCATTCCCGCGGGCGACAATTTTGGGTTGGCGGATGTTTTCCTGGTGGCAAGCACCACCAAGCAGTGGGGTCCTACCCTATGTACTATTTCGTCCGACTTTCAGAGTCAGTCTTATGGCTGAATTCTACCTGACGAATAAAAAGGAGCAGAAAAAAGCAGAAAAGGAACAACCCTGGTCATACGGAGTTCGTTTGGATTTTATTGATTACGGTGGGCCCTACCCAAAAAAGAGGGTTGTCTGCTTTCCCAGTTTATAAAGCACGGCATCCATATATCCTATACGACTTTCATGGTTCGATGGATGGCATGAAATCCCATATTTACTTTCATGGTTACATCGCTTTCGCATCATTGTCGTAAACTACCATTGTTTTTATTATCTGTTGTGTCCGTCACTACAATGGGTCATTTTACTCGAAGACACCACTTCGGGTTCGAAGCTGCTGCTTGGTATTGGCATTTTGTTGATGTGATTTGTTGATTTCGATTGGAATCGGTTTATTGGTGTGGGGGTAATTAACACATACTTAGAGGAGCGAGCTGGGTCAACGGTACCCCCAAACCGACCCTGGGGACGCATGGGTGCGCAAAGGGATGCCCAAAGGGCAGGCCAGGTCCTCAAAGGGAACAGAACAGTGTGTTGATTGATAACCTGAATTGGGTCTTTAATAAATACCTGATTAACGAAATATTTAACTTTGCAATAATTAATTTCACAAAAGTTAAATCTTTAATCAAAATATCTAAGTTTGCATCGATAAAAGAAATGAATAAGTTTAAGCAAGTTTAAACATTTAGACATAACTTTTTCAAAAAATTTCACGAAATTTCGTCGGGAGATTTTAGCATCATCACGAGGTCATTCATATAGTAGAAGATGAATGGTAGCAGGAAGATACACAATTTGCTGGAAAGATTCAACTTTTCAATCGCAAAAAAGATGCAGTTTGCAAAAAGTGAAAGTTCCGTGAAGTTGCAGTTCGAATATGGCCTAGCTCAGGCCCGATCAGCCTTAATTGGCGTGGTGCCTGGCTGGCCCTTAGGTAGGTCGTTTAGATTAGGTTAGTAGTAACCCTAATTAGCGCTAATTAGGTTTACTCGTAATTAACGATTTCTTAATTGCGCAATATGGAGAAATGTCGCAAACCTAAAATTACAATTTTAACGACCCAATTAACTATGAAAGTGCGAGAAAAGAAAAATTGCAACTTGCGATTTAATGATAACAGAGTGCAGGTATTGATAATCAATCAATCAATCAATCAATCAATCAATCAATCAAATGGTGAGTCATCCAATGCTGGTCTGCTCCGATACCAAACTTTTGCATACTCGTGAAACACAGTCATGAGTATGGTGCAGATTCCCAGAACCGACCAGATAATACAGAGTTATACAATTGCAAGCGAAAGACTTGAGATACCTTGGACTGACTCAGACCTGACTCGGACTGCAATCGAACACTCTCAACATTCATCAGGGTGTGAATGCCCTGGCCTCGAGTTACAGACGAAGGGCCAGGGCCGAGATCGTACACGGACGAAAGGGGAGAGGAGAGAGGCGAAGGAGGAGGAGAGGGAAGATGACGTCAACTCAATGMTTCCAAAGATAGTATCTTGAACTGTCAGAAGTGACAATAATCCGAAATGTCACGATACAAGTCTCACAATATCCCAGATGTCGGTCTCACAATGTCAAGTACATCTCCGAAAGGAAGATGAAATCAGATCCCAAATAGTCCTCAACTCGTAGTCCCAATGTCGCTGTCTCAGATATCATCAGAATTCGTAACCATCTCCCATACTGTAGTAGTCCTGTAGGAGAAGTAGACTTAGACTGAGAAGGTAGGAGGAGAGAGAGAGAGAGAGAGAGAGAGAGAGAGAGAGAGAGAGAGAGAGAGAGAGAGAGAGAGAGAGNAGAGAGAGAGAGAGAGAGAGAGAGAGAGAGAGAGAGAGAGAGAGAGAAAGAAGCGGTAGAGGAGAAGAGGGAGAGAAGGCGAAGCCTTCCTCCCTGGTACCTGGCTATGGTGCTGCAACGGGAGGCTGGGCCGGTAACTGGCGAGGCGCCCAGTGCTGCGCTAATCCTCTCTCCGCTGAACCTTGCTCTCTCGCTGCTCCTCGCTGCTGCAGCGCTGCGCTAATCGAGCTAATGCTGCTGCTGCGCTAATCCTGAAGACTAACCTCCGTTCATACTAACCTACTACTGAGGCTGGTACCCAGCCTTTTGTAGTGCTGGGCCGGCCTCCTACTCACTGGTACCTACCGGCCTGGACCGTTGATCCAGATCAACGGTCCAGTTTTGAAACTGGTTGGCGCCTAAACTGTGGCAGCCTCTGAACGGCTGTCGGTGGGTCCTAGGCTGGACCGGTACCGGCCTTGTGGCCGTTTGGCCTGGGCCTGCCTGAACCGCCATGGTCCAGGCCTATTCTGGCCTCATCTGAACCGTCGTCCCTCAGGCCTACCCTGCCTCTCTGGAACCGGGCCCTAACTGGGGCCCGTGTGGCTCAGTATGCCACAAAGTTCTCCAGATTCACTTTCCAGATGGATGCTTAGGGCCAGATCCCACTGGCAAGGACGATTGGAATAAGTGTCTGAATCTGGACGTGTTCCACACAGAGATGCGGAAAAGCAGATCAATCACAGTTTTCTGCACCTCGCCACAAACACGTCCAGATTCAGACACTCATTCTAATCCTCTTTGCCAGTGGGATCTGGCCCTTAGTTAAAATATTGAAACCCTAAAAATGGGACTCCCTTCGGCAATGCTCATCGGGACAGCGTCTAAGCTGATCATAGTACGCACCCCAGAAAGCAGCACCACAAAAGATGGGCAGCACAAATTCTTTTTCTAATTGATTTTGATATTTTTTGTGCTATCCTCTTCATTATTGCTGATTTTTGCATGGCTTTTCTGTTTCTGGCTCTGCTCTGCTGTCTGTTTACTCCCTCAGATTCAGAAGTTGCTGAAGCCATCCTGCCTTTCCTTTATGAGGAATTTGGCAATCCATCAAGTTCGCATTTTTATGGAAAAAAGGCGAAGTTGGCAGTTGAGAATGCGCGCAGAGAGGTTGCGTTGCTAATCGGGTGCAAAGCGGATGAGGTCAGTGCAGAAATCTCAAGGGCTTGGCAGAAAAGCAAAGCAGTGTTCTGTCCATGCAGGAAATGAAATTTATTGCAAACTTTTAAATTTTCATGCAACAACATGGAATTGTGAGGAATGAGTCCTCAGGGGGCCCTTATCAGACATACAAGTGTTTTGCCAGTGCCTGCCCTTATTGAAGACGGGCCTGAATATTCACGTGAGGTCTGTTTTCGACATTTTCCATATGTGGGTACTCAGGCAGTTGCAGCATGCCAGTTGGTCACAAAGCAACGTGAGCCTCCAGGCTCTTCCAGAAGCAAAAAAGGGCTGCGCTGTACAGTTGAGCCCAGGGCTCAAGTGGTTGCGCCCTGGGCACACGCTGTGTGAGGCCGACACATCACGGACGGGTTACGGGCCAGTGAGGAAGCAGCATAGTCGTGACACATCTGCCGCGAGCCAATGAGAATGCTGCAAACACTTGGAGGCTGGGTGGCTGCCTGGACTTGCCCAACTGCACGAGGCCCAGGCCAGTATCTGAAACTGGGCCTGGGCGCAGACACCTGCAGTCAGAGGCAAGCTACTGGGCCCCCACACGCCTGGACAGGCCAGCCAGCAGCAGACACTTTCCATATAGGAAAGTGTGTGCCCCATGCACGGACATTCTGGCCTTGGCAGGCAATGCGGACACGCTGCTGCGTTGCTGCGCTAGTGTCTGCATGGGCGCTGCTGGTCGGACGCGCGCACGGGCGCTGAGGTGAGGGTTGCTGCTGAGGCAGCGGGCGCACAGTAGCCATAGCCGGGCTGCAGGGGCGCAGGCAGGTGATGGCGATGGTGGTCTTCGGGTAGGAGGCGCATGCAGAGAGTGGGGGTCAAGGTGTGATGAGGGGAGCAGAGAGAACATACCTTGTGTATGCTGGAGGTCGGCATCGGTGTTGACATCACGCACATTGGTCTTCGACTTTGATGTGATCTAGTCGCAAGAACATAGATAGAGTAGATAGGCTGAGTAGAGTAGGCTGGGCACTGGGCGCCAGACAGTAGGAGTGGCATTGGATACAGTGTTGGTGTGACCAGAGAGCGCCTGCATTCACACTCAAGTTCATTGTATTACTGTGGCATACTCAGTACCACACGGGCCCAGCAGGGCCCGACCAGGTAGACTAAGGGTCCGTACGTGTAGGGCCTGTTTTCGTTTCAGCCTAAAAGCCTGAAAACGAGGGCCTACAGGCCCTGTGTCGTTTCATCCTGAAAGCCTGAAAACAAGGGCCTACAGGCCCTGAGTCTTTTCAGCCTGAAACGGAGGGCCATTTTCAGGCCCTCATCAGATCGACC